AGAAAGACACTGTTCATATAGACAAAAAAAAAAAAAAAAAGGTGGGGAAGCAAATCCTAGGTCATGGATAAATGCTCTCTACCAGATAAAAATCACTAACCAAATCCCAAGGGAATCATCCTCTAATACTAAACGCTGCAGCTTAAGCTGGGCTGTCCACTGCAGTGCTAGTAGCAATGCTGTAAATAATGATTTGTATTTTCGTATTCTATGTTTGGAAGCTATTGTTGACTCAGCAGCTATGCACCTCCAATTCTTTCCTTCCTTATGTTCTTTCATGGGGTCAGAAGTTTGTGTTGCTGGTTGTTTTCAGATCCTCCTGTACTTAATCAGCACCTCTCTGCATTGCTTCTCTTTCACCATCCTAACTTGCCTTTCTGTTCATACAGATGCTCCTCATTCTCTGGCCTGTACTTCAGCCTGATCTAAGGCCAGACCTTTCAGCCATGGAGCAATTGCGCCATTTATTCTTCATCTTTTTTTTTCCTCAGTATTCAGAAGATAAGGGGGAAAAAAAGACTGGAATTCAGCACTCCAAATTTTCCAGGAAAAGACATTGTATTAAAAGAGTCCAATATTACTCAATAGTGCTTATATTGTGCGGTGGGTAGAAGCTGCTAAACAGAATCAGCTACTCAAGTAGTTCTACTGCTTCCATGGGAAAAAATGCAGCATTCTTGCACTGGATTTTATTGTACTCCAAGTTTTAGTGCCTGTCTCTATCCAGTCTATCTTTCCCTGCTTTCCATGACAAAGACCAGCTTTAGGAAGATGCTCCAGATCTCTCTGCTTCCTGGAGCTCATCATTGCTTGCCTAGTTTACTGCCCTCCCAGGGAGAGCATCCCTAAAACCGCTTATTTGCAGTCACCCTTAGAGCTTTCCTTCCTAAGCTCTTTGCCTCCTGCTTTCCCAGACTTGTCACTGCCAAGTTACCTATCTCCTACATCACTGAGCTCCTCAGAGCCCTGGACACGTTGCCCTAACTSTGGAGGGACACTCAATATTGGAGGCAATTCTCATTGCAGCCTTTAACCCCTTCTGTTCTCTTCAACTTCTCTCTCTCTCTCTGTCCCTCCGTCTCCAACTAAATGCTGTTTTCTACCTAATACGGCCAAAGGCAGTTTAAAGGTGAAGAGCATAAACAGCAGGTAGGCAGGAGGAAGGTAAACACAAAGACAGGCCACATTTTTCCCGGAGTTTCCTACCCACTAACTGCTCCAAAAGCAATTTATCTTTCCATCCTTCATTTGAAAAACTGCTTTACTGATTAGCATGTCTGATATAGCTGCCATGATGTTATTTTACTGTTGTAAGATAACACCCAGAATAATAAAAAAGATCCTTTTTATTTCCCAAATTGAAAAAGAAAGAAAACATGGAGTCGCACAGAATGCAGATAAACTAGGAATATAGGTAGTGCTAAATTTTCTACAAATATACTGATTTTTCCGCTTTAACCCAATCACTTAGCTGTAATACCTACCTCAAATTGCTTAAATGCAGTATCAAGAATAGAGGTAACAACACAAGAAAAAAGGGAAACAGGGCTACTTTCTGAATAAGCATTGTCTTTATAGCCTGAAAAGATCGTTTTCCTCTCAGGCCAAATTGGTCACTCAATGTTTTTTTGCTTTCTCCTGTACACACATCGACACTCACTGCTGTGCTCCAGCTGTTCTGATAATGCAAAGCTATGATAAACATCTGCACACACAGCAGCATGTAAAAATTTGGTAACTGGAACTTAACGTACTAAATGAGATGCCCTACATGTGTATTTCCATGGGGGGAAATCCTAAGACAAACATTTGCTCTGAATATATTTGCAATAAGCACAAAGCAAGGGTGAGATAGATGGATGTGCTCTCTTCTCATTAATAAATGTCACACCCATCATGACATGCAATATTTCCAGGATGCAAAGCACATAGAAGCTTTGTGTGGGCACAAAATACATTGAGCAGTAAATGGTAATTTTGGTAAGGCAGTTACTATTTTAAACATCGATACCTTGGATATTCTGCAGAAAACAATACAACAGCCTCTTTGATTGCTCCTTTTTGCCAGGCAGGAAGCATACAAACACAGGCCCTTTACCAAAAAACACACACCTGACCAAAATAATTCCAAAATATTTCATTAAAAAAATAAAAACAAACTTCAGTCATATGTTTTATAACCCAGATCACACATAAATACTTCAGAGAAGCTTCAGAGGTCATTGAGAACTTCTGAAAGACCTTTTTTTTCTTCTTTTACTAAGTAGTATTTAGGTGTCCTCACATGCCAAAAAAATAAATAAAATAAAAAAAAGAAGAAAAATAAATACAGAAATAAATAAAAATTGGGGTCCATTCTGTGAAGCACTTAACATCTTCATCTCCTACTGGCAAGATTCTGCCCAGGAAAAACCCTGCAGCTTTGCAGGCTGGAGGCTCTCTTCTCTTACTGCTCACAGGTGAACAAAGAGTTAAAATCTTTGTTGAAAAAGACTGCAAGTATCTTTTAATAGTCGTCATTTAAAGATATTGGGAATTTAACATCTTATAGGATAGGACTTAACTTCAGATTTTCATTTTTCCCCTCAATGTGGCCTGTTGTACATACACAGCACAATGAAGACTATTCAGAAATTCCCAGTTGCCTTAGAGGCAACCACAGTTAGCGTTCTGTAATCTGCATTACAACACATTGTGGTTTTTTGTTCTTAATTAATTCTTCTGAAAATATTTGGGGGATGAGTAGATGTATTTGGTGAATGCAGTAGCAGGAAAGGCTGTGGGCTTCATAAATACAAAGAGAACAAAATCCTGACCGGTTGTATACACAGCATTGCTAAGGCTTCATTGTTGAAAGTATGCACAACCCCTCTACTACTACTCATTTCAAAGTCAGTTACATGTAAATCAAAAAAAAAAGAAATATATATATACACGCGCACACACACACACACATAAATACTGATGCTCAATGTTTTGATTAAATCCAGAAAGGGCTGTTGATAAAAAGAAGTGAAGAAAAAAATCCTCACTTACCTCAGCAGTTGCACGCTGTTATTTCATACTCCGTAAACTTTCCCTCCCTGCTAACTAAATGAAAGTTCTGCAATCTTGCTGCGGGAAGAGCTCTCAAGCACATACTGCAGAACACCAAGAAAGAGAAAGCCTATGTTGTCCCTACTAGCAGGCATCTCTCCAGGGATGATTGGTCATTACCCTGGCAACCCTCACAAATGGCAAATGACGTAAAGAGAGTGGGAAAAAAGCCACTGAGAGCAGAAAGCACTATATGCATTATAGATAGTTCTGAGAATCCAGGCTCACATATGCACTAAATGGCTTCAGAAGAGCACAAGGGACCTTCCATTTTGCAGAGATGCTTGTCGAGGTGAATAAAAAACTTTCTAATTTTTTCTTAATTAAAGCACTAAGAGGATCCTCAAGTGTTTAATTGAAGCAAATTGGTTTCTGTTGATTTCAGTAATTCAGATTACTGGTTTTTATTCTCTCCTTTTTCATTTCTATTAGAAATCCCCATTAAAATAATTCACACTGGAATTCAGACATGAGTAGATTTTTTTTGTTTCACCTTATTATTACATAAAGTTACTTATTATATTAATTCACATTAGCCCCCACACCTTATTTTTTCCCTAAAAATGTATCTGTAACAAAACGTATTAGCGACATATTTGTCATTACAAATAAAAACCTTAGCAGTTGTATTTAATGTTATTAGCAGTTGCATTTAGTGGTATTGATAAGTATACTCTGCTTTTAGCATTTGTATTTAATGTTATTGATAACTATTCTCCGCCTAAAGAAGACATGCTTCTGTTTCCAGCCAAAGATCAGAAAAAACAATGACAAAGTATTTTGTTACTTTTGCACAGAGAGCTACAGAATTTTGGGTGTGGCTGTTTTTTCCAGACTAGATGGAAAGGAAAACACAAATAGGATAAAAACAGGAATTGGCTTTGAGATTCTTTAGCATCTCCAATCTTCCTGGCACTGTGAAATAAAACTCTGAAGGAATTCCAGGTCCAAACCCAAGACAAGCCTCTTCCACCCCTGCCTAAATATCCTACGTGTTAGAATCTCAGGATCAGGCAACCTTTTGCTAGCTTTTCTGTGAGGTGGATGATTTCTGTATTCCTAAATGCACATAGCCTAACTTCCAAAGAGTGTGCTGGAAAACACTAGTGCTCAGATCATTTTGTAGCCTAAAGGTGAGGGTAAGATTTCTCAGAGGGATCATGAACAGCTGAGCAAGTAACTGAACTCTGGTAGCTGTTCAGACCACTTGGCTATTATGCAAAAGTGGGAAGGGAACAGCTCTGCCATGACAACTGAGTTCTGCGCTGAACTCCTCAAGAAAGCATGTTGGATATTGTTTGAACTCTGCCCTCCTTCAAACCTGAAATGAAATAGATGTCTAAGTACCCAGCAGCTGCAACTAAGATATTTCTGTACTTGGCTGCTCACATTCAATCAGATGAAACTTTATTGGCGTGAAACCTAGCACTCCCTGAAATATAGATGCTTTCAAGTGTAGGTGTCCTTGAAGAAGAAGACAGACAGTCTTTACAAGCCCAGTTTGTCTGCCCAAGAAACACTGGAAATCTTTACCATCAGTAGTGATAAAATATTCCCACTTCACACCCAGGTCCTTTTAGAGTAAACAAACTATCAGAGGTTGGAAGGGTCTGCATAGTAAGCAAACGGAGTTGCACAGCGTATGCATCTTTTACCAAAGAAATCCTTTTACCACATGTGACCTTGTAAGTGCAAAAGGAGGAAGAGTCTGACTCGATACATGCACAGGTAAGTACATGGGCTACATCTTCAATAATGGAGTAACGGAGCTAAAAGTAACAAATCTTTATCAGAACTCACAGTCTCCTAGCCAGGGTGGTTAAACCACAGCTAACTTTCGTATAGAAAAGTACTGAAGATTATTCACAGCCGTAACATGCATGTCAGGACTCAAGGAAACTCACCATCTGTAGCTCTTCTCAAGTTCTACATTATACCACACCTTCTCCTGACAACATTTGGGAACACCAATTCCTCACAGTTTCACTTGCAGGGCAGATGTCTTAGGCCTGATGTGCCTCTCAGTTACACTTCTGCCGCACTGAAGACATCATTCCAGCATAAACATGATGGGAGAGGAGAATCAGACTCCACGATAACTGCTGAAATGGAGGGAGAAAAAAGAAAGACTAAGAATGTACATGTGATATAAAATCAGGATTCTCATCATAGTTATTAAAAAATGCCATGAACTTATTTGTTCCAAAAATTTCATCATATAATGCAAACACATCATATAATGCGAAGATCTTATCCAACAGCCCAAAGACTTTTCAAATGAATGATAATAATATAGATATGTGTCAATGCTATAACTGAGCAATCAATACTTTTGAAAAGCAGGAGCGTGACTGCCCTAGAATACTAATTTTCTGTGGAGAAATGTTCAGATAGTGCACTGCAATCCTCAGTCTCCCTATTTAAACTGGTATCTCCTGAAAAAAAATTTTTTTTCTGCATTAAACTTCATGCTGCAGAACAACTGCATAGCTCGCTCTCTGTACTCATTTTGTATGACTGATAGAACAAAATATATACTTGTCATAGTAATGACCTGAAGGAATTTAGGGAAAAAAAAAAAAAAGAAATAATCTCTTTGCATTCAAGTACATTCAGCAAATATATTATTCTCTTTCCTCAGTGACACTCAATGTAATAATTAAGTTTATAATCATCTCTCTTTTGTGATACACTAATAAAATCTAGAAAATGAGACCAGTATCCTGTTTTCTTGAAACCAAATAGAAATCATGCTACTTTTGTTTGCATTCTGAACCAACTACATTGATGCTCATCTCCAAGGTCTTTGCCTCCTGCTTTGCCTATGGCCTCTCCTGGTGGTAAAACTACCAGCAAACAGATAAAACTTGGTTATACCACAACTTCCCCTTCAAAAGACATATTTATTGATATGAATAAAAACAGTTTTCTATGGTAGAACAGACCAAGTACGCAAGTCTAGTTTATTTCAAAAAAAGATGTTAAAAACTAGCATGACTGTAAGACAGCTGACTAACATCACAGTCCTATTCACAGGACTGTATTACTTGACCGAGTAAGAAAAACGCATTAGCAGAAATGCAAATTTAGGGCTCCTCTCTCCCTAAGGAGTCAGTTAACCAGCAGACCTTTCATCTGCTTCCCTTCCTCTGGTTGCACAGTCTCATAATTCTTAAATGCACGGTATCACAGTTCAAAACTGCTAGTGAGAAAACACAGCATCCCCCCCTAGGAAGCTGGGAATAAGAATCTGAAGAGAATCTGCCCAAGAAGCAAGAGATCTGTGCTCCATGCTACCTGCTCAGCTATTATATTGAAGTCTCCAGCCCAGCAGGGGAAAAAGCGGGGAATCAAAATGCCCTGTGGGATGGTAAGGTTTACTTGATGCAAAGATCTACTGTTTATCAACACAAGCTGGCTTCACAATTGTAGGTAGCTTCGTTTGTGCAGTGCTTGTTAGGAGACAGAGTGAGCCAGCTCAGGTCTGGCCCAGCTGCCAAGCTAATAAGCCCTGCAAGAATCCGCAGAGATGGCAGAAACAGCCTGAAACGGCCAGTGCTGTCAGACCCGAGCCAAAGGAGGTATCTGTGCACAAGGCACTCGTTCAAGACGGCGACATGGACACTTAAGAGGTTCTGGCCAGACCTGGCTTAGCCCAGCACACCTATTATCTATTATGAACTATTTGTTGTACCATCCTCAAACATAAGCTCTGGCTCTGTGAGCTCGTTCCATGTTTGAACTGAACAAGGAAAGTGGTCCAGACTCCTCCAAGCTGGTTTCACAGGAACCAGCTCAAGTTCAGAACAAAATAACAGCCTTTATTGTGTTTTTTTCCCCATTCCACAGAATATCCTAGTCCCTATTATTGCAACCAGAGTCAGCTGGAATCTCAGCATACAAGGTCATTATTTTTCTGAGAACTAGTCAGGCTCCCTTCCAGTGATGGAAAGTATAATATATACTAGTATACTAATTCAGTATTATTAGTACATATTAATGTAGCACATATTCTAGGTATTTTAATGGCAAGTATCATTATCTTTTCCTTCAATCATGTTCTAAGACAAGACTGAGTCATGATTACTTTACAAAAGGACAAGTTAGACTCTAGCTCCAAAAGGGGATCCTTGGACAGACATCCCTATTACTTTCCATCTAGAATCACAGGTGGATTTCAGACCCATTTCTTCAGCATTTTATACTACTAAGTCCCGAAATCCTGTGGAGTGATTTTTAGTCCTGTTGCAAAACCAGTTTTAAAGTGTCTGCCTCTCTTCCATTTCATATGACCCCAAATCTGGCTTCCTATCTTTGAGCAAGGTACCTAAAGGTCAGATGTGACAGTGTTGAGGCCCCTTAGTGAGATTTAGCATTTAGTTGATGTTCTAGTTCTTTTTCTGTAAAATAAGGATGATAGTGTATTTATTCTCATAACATTCTCTGTAAGAAAGGTAAGTATTAAAGTTGAAAAATACCCAAATACTTTAGAATTTGAAAGTGAAAAGTTGAGAGATCATTTAAAGTTGAGTGAATGATTGCTTGCCTTTTTCATCTACAAACATTTTTATAATTCACATAAACATCTAAGATCTCTTCTGAAAGTTAGAAAAAATAAAACCTTTAGCCTCTATTTTGCAATCAAGAGGCAAATACAAAGACAGACATTATGAACAAGCCATTGTCACAGTCACTCTGCTACCACAATCTAAAACCTACCAGTGCTGACTGGTACTTGTATGGCACCGTTTAGAAGGAACAGGCCATTGGCAACCCAACATGGAGAAGTGGCCTGCAAAGAAAAAATACCATTCTGTTCCATTTTGGCTTGAAATATCCATCATTTTCTACATTGCTTTACATTACCAGAAAGGTTCGAGAACATGCTTGAAACAATTGCATCTTAATGAAGCTGAAAAAAATCAAGGCAATAACTATGAAGCTCCAGATTCTCCCAACTACTGATGATGAAATTAACTTTTGATTACTAGTAAACATCATTATTTGGTGTCTTGATTCATGGCCCACTTCTAAAATGATCCGTTTATTCCTGCATGCCAACTAATGCTAGTCTGGTTTCACCTACTCTTATGCAAACACAGGATAACCTGAAGGAATTCACTGAAATAATCCAGAGAGACATCTAAGGAAGGCTGGACTCTGCTAGGCCACCTAAAGTCTATTTTTCTATTGCCTTCTCTACTGCAGCTATTCTTTCACACCACTGTAAAGCAAACACAGTCACTGCAAAATGGTATCCATCCTGGTGACAATGTTCTGCACGCTCTTTCTACTGGTGTAAACGCCTGCAAAAGTGCAAGGCAGTGAAAAGCCAGACCTAGACAACTGCAGCCTGAATGTCGCTTCTCCAAATCCTTCTGGCTACTTGAGAATCTCCAAGATGTGGTTTCGTATCTTGTGCTCTTCAAATCCTGAGGCTTCCAGGTATCAATATAATCTCTAGTGCATGGTACTTTGTTTGCTGCTAACTCGTTTGTGTTGCTGTTCTGGGGACTCTTAGTGGCAAAGATTAGTCAAGGACAGACTCTTCCTCCCTCCCCATCACAGGCTGCCACATGCCCCCTTATTCCACCAGGCATTTTCTGCTGGCATCTCCAAAAACTTCCCTATATTGAAGAAATCCTGGAGAAAAGGAAATAAGCACAATGGTGCCTTTGTTTCTGGCATGCAGATCAACCACTAGTAGCTCTTGCCAGAACAAGATCTGGCCCAATGGGGTAATTATCATATGAATACCATGAACATTACCACAGCAGTACCTGAAGTACAAGCACAAGCTAAATGAAGATGCTCTGCTATTTTAACTCCAAATTCTCTGAACTGACTTCTCCAACAGCAACTAATTCCTCCTCCTCAAACAACTCTGCCTTGGGTGTTAGTGCCACACACTGGAAATTGTGATAATGCATTAAAAGATTTTATAAGGCAAGTTAGAGATGCATTGACTTTATCTGGCACAGTAGGGCAAAAGCAGGATTTATATCTTTCTTCTTAACTTTAGCACCTATGTTTTGTAGCTCTGTGAATTTGCAAAGTGTGGCAAAACTACAAAATTTCTTAATGGCATGACAAATTTATCCATTTTGCTCATTAAAAAAAAAAACAAAGAATCAAACTGTGTGTTAAATTAACATAATTACCCTTGAGAGCTATTATGTCTAATCATCTCCTGATTTTCTCATAACTGCATTCAAAAAAAGTCAATGTTGTTGTCTCTTGCTGCTGCATTTTGGTTCAAGAAGAGCCTTAAATGGGACTGTGAAGTCAGCAGCCCACCCTGAACCGCAGTGGGTTGGAAGCTGTAGTCAAAACCACACATTTAGCCTCCTTTTCTCCTCCACTAGCAGGAAGTTTAGTGAAAACTGTAATGAACTATGTGACTCTGAACAGCTTTACAAAAACCAGGTGCAGCAAATGGAAATCTTATGCTTCAAATATCATTGAATTTGAACAAAATGATCAGTGTAAGTTAAGAGCTACAGCGGAGACTCAAGCCATAATTTCAAAAAACAAACAACCCCATAACTTTATAAGTTACATAACTAAACTACCTAAGATGAACAGAATTCACGGCACTTTTTTTTTCTACTTAGAGACACAAGTAACACATTTTTTTCATATTTACAGCAAAATAATTGTTATCATTCACGCGACGCAGCACTTTACAAGTAAATATAAGGACAGCCAACCAAACTAAGTTGACTGCACCTAATCAGGCCACCTGAGCCCAGCACCCTCTCTGCAGGGCGCGGAATCAACACCCGCATCCCTGCGAATCCAACGTGATCCCATGGGATGCAGCAGGCCGCGTGTCCACAACATTTCAAGCCGGGAAAGCCTGGAATCTGAGCTGATTTCTCTGCTCGTTAGCTCTTAGGCTCCCCCAGCACTAACCTCCGGCTGCACTCGGGTCTCTCCTATAAGGCCCCTGCGGTTCCCACAGCCGCCCCGCTCCCCCTCCGCTCCTCCCGCTCTCCTCACAACTTCTTTCCCTCCTCGCACGCTGCACCCACACTTACTTGCTCGGTCGCTCGTTCATTCGCCCGCCTGCCCGCCCATCCACCGCTCCCCACCTC